CAATATTTTATTTATTTATTTATTTATTCGGGAGCATTCTACACTCCCGATTTTAATCTATACCGGCACTTTTGCCGTGGACATCAGTGATGCGAGTCGCTCAGATGGGCACTGAGCGGCGGCAGAGCCGTGTGACCGAACCGCCCCGGCACACGGGCGGACGCCTCCACGTGGCTCCCCGCGGTAACGGCAACACACTAAGCCGGCCAAGTTCCGTTTCCCCAAGTAGGGGACTCTGCTTAAATAATTTTTCCAGCCCGTACGCAGGAATCCCGCGGCAGATCAGTCAGATGGGTTTCCCTCCTGCGGGAGGACTTGCCAAGAGTGCTAGATAGGCCAGTTACTATAAGATAGGTGATAATAAAGAACGAAAGTTATGCTGGATCTCGTATCCTTGTTATTGGGTAACCCGTTGCGCAGATGAGCGATCCAATAGTCAACCTGCAGGGTCGCTCGAGCCGGGACCCCTTGTTATCAGGAACCGCACTGCCCCGGTAAGACGCGCCAAAAGGACGTGATGCAAATAGCCAAATGCCTTGTCATCTAATTAGTGACGCGCATGAATGGATTAACGAGATTCCCACTGTCCCTATCTACTATCTAGCGAAACCACTGCCAAGGGAACGGGCTTGGAAAAATTAGCGGGGAAAGAAGACTCTGTTGAGCTTGACTCTAGTCTGGCACTGTAAGGAGACATGAGAGGTGTAGAATAAGTGGGGGATGGCAACATCGCCGGTGAAATACCACTACTTTCATCGTTTCCTTACTTACACGCGGAAGCGAGGAAGGAAGAGACCGTTGAGAATTAAAACTCGGAACGTTCTACTCGAGAATTCGTCCTTTCGCATCTCTCACGACGAGATAGCCGCGTTTTACTCACCGACCTCGCTTCTTATCATCCCCGTTTCGACCACGATCATCCTTCTGCAGGCATACGCGCTCGTTTTCCGGATTCGTCGCGGCTTTTCATCCCCGGCTACGAAAGTTCCGTTTCTTTTTCCTCGCGGTAAAAGAAACGGAACTTTCGTTGTAACGACTTCAATTTAGAGCGCGCTTTGCAGTCCGTCTTCGCGGTCCTTTCGAGAAGGAAGAGAGAGAGAGAGAGAGAGAGAGAGAAAGAAAAGTTCTCCTTTCCTTCCTCTCGGCTTTACGCAGTGTATAAATGTCGCGCACGGGCTCACACTAAATTTACGATCGTCTATTCTCGAGGAGATGAAACGCGTGCCGGGTGATTACCGCGGGGGAGAGAAAGAAAGAGCGGGAGAAAGGAAACCGCCGGAAGAGAGCCGTGAAGGCCCGCGTTTTAGCTTTAAACTTAATACAATAAGATCACGTTGCGCTTAAATCCTCGCAAGAGGCGAACGAAACTCCGCTTTCCAAGTGAAACTTTTTAACTTCAACGAGATTAACGTCCTCCAACATGGCACTTCCGTGTAACACGAGTGCATATCCGGACGTGTGACACTAGATACAAGTTGTTTGAGAACGATGGGCCGAGAAACTTCGCAAAGACCGGCGCAATTTAATGATATTACGAGTTAATTAAATATCTAGGGGAAGATTTTTAGGGACGCGATAAAATTCACTTAAGAAAGCGGGGCAATGGTGAATGGTCATCTCGTCGACTAAACAACCGTTTCAATTTGTGTGGCTACAATGAAAAGAAATTAATACGTAACCCAAAATAAAACAAATTTCGCACAAACGAAGTATTACTGTTAGTTCTTTATCGAAGCGTCTCTTTAGAGAGAGAACGTCTCTTTTGTTTCTTGTGTTTCATTCGCGTATAAACAATGTTAATAATGTTAACGTTCGTAATTCGTATCGAGATAAAATTATCTAAATAATTATCCAAATAACGAAATAAAAGCATCTTTATCTTATCTAGATGAAAAAATATAAAGTATATAATCATCTTTATCTTAGATAAAAAATCATATCATCTTAATAAAAATTATTTAAGATAGTAGGATTTTTATTCTTTCTGCAATTTATTTACTGCGTTTAAATCAAATTGAATTCCAGCACGTTATATGGATAAAGTTGTGTAAAGACCTATTTTTGAAAATAGTAGATTATTTATACTGCGTATAAATAATGAAAGATTACGACAGATAAAATATTAGAAACACACACATCTCTCTCTTAAAACGCTTTCAAAATCGTCTGAGATCGAGTTCGATTAAACTCGGAAGTATTGCATCCGCGGAAGCGAGAGAGAGAGAGAGAGAGAGAGAGAGAGAGAGAGAGAGAGAGAGAG